GACTTTGCCCTCTTTCTCCTACCCATTCTGGCGGTCCTCGGCAGCCGAGACTGTCTTCTTCTTCCTCACCATGGGCACGGCCTGTTCGTGCGGGGTCTCAGCCGGCAAAGGTTCATATTTCCAGCGCCAGAAAGTGGCTGTAATATTTTCTCTCTCTCTCTCACACACACTCACTGCCCTTCTTCTTTCTCCTCAACTCCTTTCGCCGCAAGGAAATCGGCAACGCAAAAAGATAGACAGGGGCAACTCCAGACTTCTCAAACACATGCCATCTCCCCGAGCCCACCAGAAAGACACGCCGCTTCCCTCTCGCCAGCAAGCACCTCGATAGCTTTTAATCCAGAACAGAGATGTCACCAACTCCAGTCTCACTCCTCTCCCTCTCTGAACTTTGCTCGCTACGTCACACAGCTGTTCCCCAAACTTCAGCACAAACTGCCTTGGATGGAAAGACATCATCATCAACAGCAGCCTAATACAATATGCATTTATCTAAGAAGGTATCTTGAGAGAGTTCACAAAAACATACATTGATTTAAAATAAAATCCTATCCATCAGAACAAACAAAGTTCCTCTCAATGTTAACTGCATCCCAGACATGAGAACATCTCTCATGGAAGTTGTACTTGGATTAACAATTCTTATTATTTCCAACAATGTTTTGAGGATTATCTAGAAGTCTTTTTTTTAAAAGTATTGGCTATCTTTTTTTTATTTAGAACATGCAAGCAAACACTGTGGCACATTTGTATGATATTGCACACTGTCCCTGCTGCCCACTTTCAACACAAACTTGTTTTGGTACTCAAGATGAAAATGATAATCCAGTAAAGAAATGCAAAAGTAGAACAAAAAACATGGAAACAACAAATGTCAATGTAAAACAAAAATACACTTTCATGCTTTTAATTTAACAGGTGGCAACTATTATATTTCCCACAACATTCAAACAGAACAAGCCTGGAAACATACTATGTTTCTAAACCATGTTCCACAAACAAAAAACTGTTTAGCCAAAAAATTATACTGCAAAAGTAGCAACTCTTATTGCATAGAAAAGTTATCACTTCTAGATATTGTTTGTGTTGCACAAAATATTTATAATAAGCTTGATTAATATCATAAAGTAGATTGTCAACTAGTATATTTATCTGTGTATACTGTTGGTTTAAAGTATAAACACAACATTCCCATGTATAGATATGTACTACTGTAACACCAAATAACTTAATTTTAAAAAGTTCATTACTTCCACTTAAATGTTATAACTGTCTATGATCTGGTCATAATGTATCAATGCCTGTCAATATTAACATTTTTTTTCACTGATGTCTACACACCTGCAGAATGATTATGTGTACATTAGAGTATCACCATGTTGGCTCAACTACTAGCAGTTTAAGAAATGATATTTGAATAATAGCTTGGAGTTAAAAAAAGTACAAAAAAGTGCAAAAATCCACACCATGAAACGGTCACAAAAAGATCTGTTGGTAAGTCATTCCTGGTGCAATGCAAGTTGCTTTGAGAGTTTGCTCACAGAGCAAAGGGAGACTGTACAAAATGTTCTACCTGCATGAATGTTCTACCTGAAGAAAGTTCTATCCTACAAAAAGTTTGGTTGAAAACCCTCTGCATCAAAGTACCTAATATTGCTCAAGAAACTATATCGTGGCACACATGCAAGTTTTCTTCTCAACTCAGCCCAAACATTCAGTTAGATCTGTGGGTATCCCAATTAACACATCTCCCCCCAGTTCTGGCTGATACCAGGTTATTTAACCAGGTGATACACAGCCACTCCAGCTCTAAAGCATGCTGTCAAGTCAGTTTTGGCTGCCAAACGCACGTGACCTCATCTGATTCTTAGTCAATGATCCAGATTACACTTCTCACACATAACATGCTCACACCTTACTTATAAAGGTGCATCCTCAACAACTAAGCTCAAATTATCATTCTTTGCCAGTTTGTAGCCAAATAGGTTTACTGGTTTACATTTCTTAGCTCATTCTTGGTTATGATGCAACACAAGAAAAAAAAATCACACAGAATACTTTTACAGTGTCTGCACTTCATATTTGTTGTCTACTGTGTGAAGAAAATAGAAGCCAGTCCTCAATTGCACTGATGACATTAAACCACAAATCACAATGCATTAACAACATTACAGTCACACACACACTGATTGTTCTTGGTCTAATCATTATAACTTACTGTATAAACATTTCATACCACTTGATCTTATAGTTTACAGAACAGTTCTTTGCGTTGTAATTTAGCTGAAATACAACTGTACGTACGTTGTTATTCTTCAGATGTGCTCAGATTTCTATTGCAATTCTATTCATATTGCATATACAGCTTTCTATCTTATGGGCTCACCGGATGGTGTCCTTTCAAAATTCGAACTACCTCCACGAGAGATCTCCCTAACCTAGTCAAGTAAATTGATCTAAATACCACTGCTCCCAGGAATGCTGCGATCTGTCACTTTCTGGAGAAAAACCTTGCAGACAAAACAGACAAACCGATCTAACTGAACAACGTCCTAAAGTTTGTTGGTACACATATCAAACGAAGTGAGAGGCAAAGAGACCTATAACAACAAGACATCCTAGGGTGAAGATAAGTCGGAATTATCCAAACCACGATGGATGCATTATTGTTTCACTTGTGGGTGCTGCATTCTTTTCTTCACCTGTGGGAGCTGCCCCCAGAGAGGAGGTGAAGGGGGAGCAAGGAGATGGGGTGGGGAGGGGGAGGAAACAAAGTCGGGGGGGCGAAAACAAAGTCGGGGGCAAAGCAACAAGTTGGGGGGAGAAGCAAAAGGGGAAGGGGCGAAAAGAGCAAGGGGGAAGAGGGTGAAGAAGAGAAGCAGATTTCCGAGGCCTAGTCGGCTTGTGATAGAGCCGCAGGCCTCCCTTTCCTCTCTGTCCGAACCTCCTCCTCCGGCAGGGACCGATCGAACCACCCCCTTCTCCCCCGGTTAACGCAGTCCAGCCGTCAACTCCTTACCCTGCCCCTGCCGACGGCACCTCTCGATCCATCTCTGCGTCGCCCTCACATCCCCATCCACACATCCAGCCGCCGTCTCCGCCGCCGCCGCCGCATCGCTCGGTGTCCAGCGCGCGCCAGGCCGCAGCCGCTCGCCATTGGCCGTCTCACTGGCGTCACGTGATGTCAACAGCGCCCCGGTAACGGCCGACGGGAGCCGGGGGAGCCAATCAGACACTCGCTGTGGCGTTCGGACCCGCCCAGGCCCGCTATCGTTTCCGGGTGAGGAGGTCACTAGCACTGATGGACAGGGGCGACGACCAGTCAGACGCCTCCCCTGGTCTGCCACACTGACAGGGGACGAGCGAGAGAAAGTTCCAGTGACCTGCGGCGGCGGCGATGGCGTTGGTGCAGGAGTTCGTTCGACTGATTCCTAAAGGCATAGTCATAGGGTACTGTAAAGTCTTTAAAGCATAGGAAAACTTCGAGCATCAATTTATTTCCAACACTCGTCCCCTGACTCTGTATGCTAAACCGGTTTTAAGTGCCCATTTAAATGTTTTGCTTTGAATATCTGGAGGGTTCCTACTTCCACCACCCGCATCCCGACTGTTGTCAGCTCTGACCCCCCAGGGTCACTGCGCTCGAAGAGTTAACTCTATTCCCCTCTTCCCAGATTAGCGAGTTCCTCCAGTACTTTCCATTTTTGCGAGCACCCGCCCGCAGTTCTTTGTTTTTAATTATCTCGGTGAAAATACTCTGCACCCTCTCTGGTGCGATCACATCCTTTTTGTAGTGTGACGACCAGAACTGTGGTTTAGCAAACGTATGCTGCTCCCATCATTTTCTATTCAATGCCTTGACACAGGAAGGCAAGTATTCCACATTCCTTCTGAACCACCTTATCGACCCGTACTGCTGCCATTAAGAGTATGTGGACATGCTTACCAATTCCCTATAATCAGCACTGTCTTGCCTTGTTATCTTCCTAAAATGTATCCCCTCACACTCTTCAGAATTCAGTTCCATTTACCATTGTTCCGTCCATCTGACCAGTCTGTCTGTGTTGTCCTGTAGGGTAAGATTTTCTTCCTCATTATTTGTCACACCACCAATTTCATGTCATCTGCCAGCTTAATTATCCAGTTCCGAGGAAGCGTCACCAGACCTGTAGCATTAACTGATTTCTCTTCATAGGTGCTGCCAGATCTGCTGAACTTTTCCAGCATTCTTTGTTTTTGTTGTTGTTAATTATCAAAGTATTGATCATGTTTGGCTCAGCCTCTCTGACTTTACCCCCAGCTTCCCACTTTGGTTGAAGGTATTTTGTAATTTAAAAAAAGAGGTTTTACATATTAATTTACAGTTTCCGTAATAACGTATTTAATAGCATATTCTGGGGGAAACTATCTTCTCACAAAACAAACTGAAACATCCTCTCGCCCAAAAACAGATCACCAAACCATTTCTACTAACCTTCCCTATTGCTTTTCATCTCCTATCCATTCATCTCTTTCGAACTAACACTGGGGTAATTTCAATTTAATAGCAAAGGAAGATACTCCTACGATTCTGAAATAAATATAGGAAAAATTGCTGAATATAAATATGGGTCAGGCAATGCCTGCAGAAAGAGGATCAGAACCAATGAGTGAATTTTCAATGGCATATGGAGTTGAGCTTCTCCTGCTCAAGTTTCTACTATAGGTTACTTTGCTGGTCTGCTGCTAGACTGCTGTCTCAAGATAATTTTGAGGATGGAGGGGATGTGAGGGTAATGCCTACTCTATCATCAGTGATGGGTTGTCAGTCCAATGATGGGAATCAGAGGGAAAACTCTCCACTGGTTGGAATCATACCTGGCACAATAGAAGATTGTTGTAGTTGTTGGAGGCCAATTATCTCAGTTCCAGGAAATTTCTGCAGGAGTTCCTCAGGATCGTGTCCTTGGCCCAACCATCTTCAGTTGCTTCATCGATGACCTTCCTTCCATCATAAGGTTTGAACTGGGGATATTCAATGATGATTACGCAATGTTTAGCACTGTTGCAACTCCTAAAATACTGAAGTAGTCCGTGTTAAAATTCTGGAAGATCTAGACAACGTAACAGGCTTGGGCTGACAAGTGACACGTAACATTTATGCCACACAAATGCCAGGCAATGACCATCTCTGACAAGTGAACCCAACCATGGACATTCAACGGCATCATCATCGCTGACTCCCCCACTATCAACACCCTAGGGGTTATCGTTGACCAGAAACTGAAGTGGACTACTCATATAAATACAATGGCTACAAGAGCAGATCAGAATCTAAGAACCCTGCAGAAACATACCATGCTGTTTACACAGCACCTTCCAAATACAAGATCACTACCATCTTCAAGGACAAGAGAAGCAGATACATGGGAACACCTCTACCTGCAGGTTCCCCTCCAAACCACTGACTATTCTGGTTTGGAATTATATCACCATTTCTTCAGTGTCACTGAGTCAAATCCCTGGAGCTCTGTTCCTCACAACACCACAAGTCTACCTACACCAAATGGACTGCAACAATTCAAGAAGGCAGCTCAGTACCACCTTCATAAGGACAACTAAGGATGGGCAACAAATCCTGGCTCAGACAGCAACACCCTCATAGCTAGGACCAACTTAGTTATTAACTAATTCAGCTAGCATACATGTTGACTATTTAACATTAAAATGCAGGGTAACACATCTGCTCATGTGAATATTTAGCAATCACACCTGCAGTATTTTCAATAGGAGACCAAATCAGTGTCATCAGCTGCCTCTGTGACTGAGTCATTCATTAATTGTAAGAATAAATAAATAAAATCAAAGTGCTCAATGAATTAACTGATCACGTTTGAGTAAAACCAAAAAAGGTAGAAGTCATCATCTCTCTACTATTATTTCTCTCTCACACTTTTCATATAATGCTTTTTAGTAATCCCTGGTATATGTTACCCAGTTCCTGTCACTATCTTTCACTCTTGCAGATCTCTATTAGGAAGTAATTTGTTGATTGAAATTTGTTATTCTCAATTCTTAAAGTTATTCCCTGTCTTCAGTTGCACAACAATGCATTGGTCAGTCTGTCATTAATAAGATGAACAGCTTACTATGGCTGCATAACTTGATGTTGTGTAGAAAGCAAAAACATAATTTTTAAAAAATTTTGTATTGCAAAATGAACAAGCAAAGTGATGTAAACTGTTGCACATTTTTATGGTTTAGGAACAGTAAAGGACAAGATGAAGCAAATCAAGATTCGTAAGAGTCATACAGCGTGGAAACAGACCCTTTGATCTAACCAGTCCAGGCTGACTATAATCCAAAACTAAATTAGTCCCACCTGCCTGTCCTTGGTCCGTATCCCTCCAAACCTTTCTTATTCATGTACTTATCCCAATGTCTTTTAAACGTTGTAACAGTACCCACATACACAACTTCCTCTGGAAGTTCATTCCACAGATGAACTACTGTCTGTGTAAAAAAGTTGCCCCTCATGTCCTTTTTAAATCTTTCTCCTCTCACCTTAAAAATATATCCCTAGTCTTGAAAGCCCCCATCACAGTGAAAAGACACCTGCCATTCACCGTACCTATACCTCTTATGACTGTATAAATCTCTATAAGGTCACCCGTCAATCTCCTATGCTGTAGTTAAAAAAGTCCCAGCTTATCCAGCCTCCCTTGCCAAACTTGGGTTTCATAAACTGAATGAGAGTAGGAGGTGAAATAGACTAAAGACCATTTTAGTACTGAGTTGTGGGAAGAGATGAGTCAGAATTAGAATCAGTGCTGATTTGATTTCAACACAGTGTGGATTGGAGGGGATTTCTGAAGGGCATGCAGAATGGCATATTTTCAGCTTGGGAGCAATAATAGAGTAAAACCTGTTAAACAGCTTGACAGTTGTGGTATCGAAAGAAGGTATCACCCCATGGAGACCAACAACCCCACAGACCTGAATTTACTAAATTACCCCAATGAGGCAACCAAAACAAAAATCAAAATGTCACTTTTTATAAGTTCTACTTTAGAAATTGAATTAAAATTAGCAGGAAAAGTTTAGTAAATTTCAACAATCAATGGCATATTAAATAGTAGAATAAAGATAGAGCTCACGGATTTACTAAGCAGTCCTATTTCAGCCACAAAGTTGTTCAAAGTTCTGAACCACCTCAAGTAGAACTCCAGCTACTTTTCTTTGAGGAGCTAGGAAACAATTTTCATCCAACTACTGCTCACAATCAAGCCAAGTTCCATATGCATGGTCTTCACCAAAATGATGCACTCCTTCAGAACCTATTCAGCTCTGCTCACAATAGTCTTGACAGTATGGATTCACCCAAAATATACCTGTAACCTTAATAGCAACACACTGCACTTTATGGCAATTGTTGATCAATCAGTTCCCTTAAAATACCAACGCAGTGACTGTAACATTTTTTCCTCTATATCCCCATTCCGGATCCAGTCTGCAAGTTCTTCCAGCCTGCATGCTCTGCAACATCAGGACTGAACGCAAATGGTTCTGTCATTTATCTAGTTTCAAGCATAGCTAATTTTCCAAGAAGCTCCCCTGAAGTTTCCATTTCAGTTTCAGTTTTAAATTCAGCTTCCATTTCGGTTAAAGTCTGTCTCAAAAAATATACAAAGTTTGAAACAACACATTCGTTCGCGAAATGGACGGACAAGCAAAGTAGTGAAAGAGGCAAGATGAGAGCCAATGCTGAAACAGATTTTGTTGATAAGATAAATTTGATCTTGCATCCTGTTCAAAACTGCAAAGAGGACAATAGAAGGCAATCCCAAGATATACCAGTAATATTCAAGACTTGGAGCAGCTATAACTTTATACAGTGTCAATCGAAAGAAACTGTGTTTTTTGGAGGCAATTTAATGTGTGAAGTGCATACTCTATATAAGATTGGAGGAGATAATGTGACCAAGAACACTGAAGACGAAAGAATATGTGTGAACCATCAAGATTAAGATTATATAACTGTTAATTAGACTGAAAAAAATCTCTGAAAAATGAAACATTAGGACTGCTTCTGGGGGAGGTGGAACCTGCATAAAACTGACAGGTTACACAGTGTAACAAGAGCTGGGTGACAACAATTGCACGAGATGTTGTTAGAT